ACACAGACAGTTTCTGTTCATTGCCACTCAAGGATCTTTGATAAGATGCCTGTGTAAAATCTCAGTTTAAAAATGATTCTTGGGTTTAGAGAGATGGTTCAGCCATTAAAAGAGTATACTGCTTTTGGACAGGACTCTACCTCAGTTCCCAACACCCACATCCGGTGACTCCCAACCCAGCTGTGACCCCAGCTTCAGGGGATCCTCTAGATCTGCACTGATATACACATAGGCTTCCCCACAACACATCCCCCCCCACAGACACACAGATACACAGACACAACACATCCCTCCCACAGACACACTCTAGTTCAGTTCCAGGCACCCACATTGGGTGGCTCCCAAACAGTTGTGACTCCAGCTTTGGGGGATCAAATGCCCCCTGAATCTGCACTTATATATTCATATACTATCTCTCACCCCAAACACACACACACACACATTTTTACATTAAATTATTTTTTAAGCTCCCAGATGCATTTATTTAGCAGTATGAAAAAGTAGTGAAAAGTTATGTGTAGTCTTTAAAAAGCTTACCCCTTTAACTATTTTAGAGCACGCATTTCAGAGTCATTAGACACCTTCAGAGTATTTCACAGCCATCACAACCAATTCCTTCCAACCCGTTTTTCACCCCACCCAAATAAACCGCCATATTCGTTAACCAGTCACTACAATTTCTTCCTTCCCTGGTTCTTGGCAACAGCTGAGCTGCCTCCAGCCCGCATAGCTTTGCTCTTCCTGGTTGTTCCATATAAACGGGGCCATTTCATGGTTGTTCCTTTGTGTCGGGGTTCTTCTTGTCCGTACCGTCTCATACAGTTGAACATGGGGTTGCATGTGTCAGTACTCCGTTCCTGATCTGTAAATGAAATGGAATGACATCCAGTGGGAAAAATGAAGCAGAATGGAGTGATATTCCATCGAATGCCCTTGCTACACGTAGTTTATGGATTCACCAGCCGGTGGGCATGAGGGCTGTTTCTATCTTTGGGCTTTATTACTATGTGCACATCCACATATCACAAGTTGAATACTTGTAATTCTTTGAGCACACATCCAGACAGTCAGTGAAATTCTGGAGTGGCCAGCAGGCAACTTGTGTGTTTAACTTCCTGAGGACTGGCCATACCGTTTCCCACAATGGCTCTGCCATTCCACATTTGCTTAGCCGTGCTGGAGGGTTCCCGTGTCTCCCGATTCTCAGCGATGCCTTCTATATTCTAGCTTTCTTTTCTTTCCTCTAGCCATTCCGGTGGGGATGAGATGCATGTTGTTTTAATTTGTAATCCTTTAGCGACTCAAGGTCTTTTGGGGATTTTAACTCATGTCAGGATGGTCTGTTCTGGCAATTGCTAGATTCAGTCATCGTTTTTATGAATTCACGATTCTTGTTTGATTCCTGTGAATCCTATTGAATTCCTATTCGTGTGTGTGTGTGTGCACAAATGTGTGTGCGTGTGTGTGTGCATGCTCATGCATGCAGTTCTTGAAAAGACGTTACTTAATGTCTTGTGGAGTAGAATTCAGGTTGTGTTACATCAGAACTCTTCATCTGGGAAGAAAATACGACACGTTTTTCAGAGTCTATATTCAAGCGAGAAGCTTTAAATTATAGGGGTGGAATCCTTTTTTTAAAGAGTACTTTGTATTTATTCGTTGACAGCTTCATCCATGTAAACAATATACTTTGACCGTATCCATCTCAAACTCCCTTTCCACTCCTTCTAGACCTTTCCCAGATAGACCCCCTCTATTAGTTCCTCCTCCACGCGCACGGGCGTGGGGCCAGCAGCCTTAGCATGAGCAGAGTCCTAGCGGCCACACCCCCCAAAGGAAATGGCCCTCCCTCCCTGACCAGCCTCAGCTGACAGTAGATCTTATAGGAGGCTATGGGGGCCTGTCTCCCTTTCAGTCTTCATTTTGACTGGTTTGGTTTTGTGCAGATAACCATAGCTGCAGCTGCTGGTCCCTAAGTGCAATAGTTCTTCTTCTGTGCTGTTCCCTGAGTCTGGAGGGGATTGAAAGACATCCCATTTAAGGCCGAACACTCAAGAGTCACTTACTCTCTGCACTTTGCCTGCATGGAATGCTACCCACTGCAAAAAGAAACTTCTCTAGCTAAAGAGGAGAACAACACTATTGTGTGGGTTTTAGCAAAACATTTAGAAGGCAGGTTGATAGCATGTCAACTCAGCAAAATGTTGTACTGGGTTTCCAACTGGGGCCTATGACTTTCACAGTCACGGGATTTTGAACAAGTTTACAATGCCAGGCACACATTCCCACCCGTGGAGCAGGCCTCGAGTGTGATCAGAAAGCAGTTGGTTTCTAGTGTCCATGCCACTGTGGCACCAGCGGGTACATCTTGCCCGGCTGCATTACTCTGCATGCAGAATCCAGTGCCGAACCAATGAGAGTTTAATACCACGGATGCGTTTTCTCCCCCAGCATCCTCACAGCACCTTCTCGGATTTTGAAATCTAGCCAACAGGGAAAATATTTCCATGAAATCAGTTCCTTTTTATTTGTATTCATTTTCACAAGGACACCAGAAGCAGCATCAAGCAATTTTGCTCTCTGATTTTCACACACATTAAAACACTAAAATTCCACTCAACCTTCAGTCCTCCCGCCCCCCCCCATTGGCTCACCTGTGGCTGCCACACACTGAACAATGCAGAGTTCATGAAAATGCCCGTGGCTTTCAGTTCTTCTTTATTAACGGACTGTTATAAATACAGTAAAAATTCCCACCTAATAACAGTGTTGGAAACTCTCCAGCATTTCAAAATATTGTCAGTTCAGTCTCTGTGTGTGGTTCTGTATAGAGGTCTCCTTGAGATGGCTGGGCCCTTTTCTAGATTTCACTGTGTGAGATCCTGAGTGGAAACCCCCTACTGACCTTCCTTTTTTTTTTTTTCTTTTTTTCTGACCTTCCTTTTTTTTCTCTCCAGGTGTGTGGTGCAGGGAGGTATCCCTAGTACTTAGCAATGATCAGAACTGCCCAGAAGCTTTAAACAAACAAACAAAATACACCTCTCCACCTTACCCACCCCACCCCACCACATTCCACAGAATTCAAGACAGCAGGGCAGAGAATCTACTTCTAGACGGCAAGAGACGATGTGCGGATTAATAAGGGATCCCACATCTGTGGCTCTGAGAAATTTAGATACAGTGAACCAAAAGTTCCTTGGCAAAATAGTTGAATTCCTTTCTTCGGTTCCCTCACTTGTAAAATGGAAATTAGAAGCATCTACTTAGCCCTTGGTCAGTTGCAAGAAACAAAAGTGAGCCTCACGTGGACATCATCGGATGTGCAGGGCACAGGTGTGGTTGAAGGGAGGCCTACCCGCGTAGACATGCATCGTCAGAGGTGCAGGGCACGTGTGCAGTTGGAGGCCTGCCCACGTGGACATGCATTGTCAGATGTGCAGGACACAGGTGCAGTCGAAGGAAGGGCTACCCACTTGGACCTGCATTGTCAGAGGAGCGAGGCACGGGGTGGTTGGAGGGTGGGCTACCCACCTTTCTTTTCACACATGAGGTGTTACTGTGACTAGAACCTTTTTCTAGAGTGTTAGTTTCTGAGCATGTGTTTGCTGGGTTTGGCTTAAGCAGTTATGAGTTGTGTTCAGGAAGTAAGACAGAATTAGTATAAGGTTTGTTGCTGTTTGCTAGAGAATGAGAATGACCTCACAGACTGGATAGCTTTTCATTTCCTGCCCTTATGTCCAGGACAGTAGACCCAGAGGGTTAGAACAGCACATACACACACACACACACACACACATACACACACTAGCCCTAGGTTTGGGAAATACCCATGCAAAACTGAAGATCCTTGTTTTCTGTGGCAGTGGTCTCCAATACACTAGACATTTCTTTAGCAGCACAACAAGAAGAAATAATAGCGTTCATACTAGACGTTCCAACCAGTGACAGGGTTATGTGTGGCTGTATGACCAGGAAGGGAAATAAAGCATGGGACACAACATCGTAGCATAAATCTTCACCTCTGACCTTACAGCACACTCCTGTTCTGTTAGGCTGAGCAAGACTCTGAATTGCTTCCTGGGTGGATTGTCAGAATTAAGGACCCAGTGGGGGCAGTGGGTTTTCTTTTTAAGTTTCCTTCAAATTGCATGTGTATGTATATGTGTTATGTGTTTGCATGTGTACATGCTCATGTGCTTGCCATTGTGCATGTATGATGTTGGATGTCCTCCTCAATGACTCTCCACCTAATTGTTTGAGGCAGTGTCTCTCGGTGAACCTGGGGCCTACTGATTGAGAGAGATGAATTAGCCGGCGTGCTTCAGGGATCTTCTGTCTCTACCTCCCCAGCTTTAGGGTCATAGGCTGTGCTGGATAGATTAATGTCAATTCGACACAAGCTAAAAGTCATCTGAGAGGAGGGGACATCAATTAAGGAAATGTATTCCTAAGATCTGGCTGTAGGCAGGCCTGTAGGGGCATTCCATCTATTAGAGATTGATGGGGGGGGCAGCCCATTGTAGGTGGTGCCATCCCTAGGCTGGTGGTCCTGAATTCTTAAAAAAAAAAAAAACCAGGGTGAGTAAGCCAATAAGCAGGACCCTCCCATGACCTCTGCATCAGCTCCTGTCTCCAGGGTCCCACCCTGATTGAGTTTCTGCCCTGACTTCTTTCAGTGATGAAACGACGTGGAAGCATGAGACAAATAAACCCTTTCCTCACGGAAATTGTAACCCTAACCAAGACATAGGCACACACCACACCTGACTTTTTGTGTGGGTACTTGAACTTGGGTTCTTCATGTTTGCACGGCAAGCGTATGAGCGACCGAGCCATCTTCCCAGACCATGGTGCTTGTTTCACGGTCAGCCCCGCTACATACCCTCACCCACTTAGTTTAACTCAGATGTGGAATTTAGCACAACTTCAGGAGCCCACGCTGTCCTCAGCCAAACCCCAGAACTTCAGCTTTTACTTAACTTTTCCTCCCCTCGTTTCAGGAAAAGAAGATTTTCCAGATCCCCTGGATGCATGCAGCTAGACACGGGTGGGATGTGGAAAAAGATGCGCCGCTCTTCAGAAACTGGGCGATCCACACAGGTATCGACCCTTGCCTTGATTGTTTACATGTTGTTGAATTTAGCTTTCATTACACAAATCTCCTGGCTTATGACCTCATGAAGAGAGCTCTGAAATCCTGTGACTTATCCCCAGGTACATTCAGGGGATGTAAGAGGAGGATAGACGATGTCACTCAGCAGTGATGTCATCCATTGATGTGGTATTCTTATAAGTTCTTAAACATAACGAGGGGGAACTTTAGCACTACTAACTTATAACAATATATTCATTTATTACAAAATTTCTATAGGGAGCTATCTTTAGAAGTGGACTTTGTGCATAATATTTGACGCTAGTTAATTCTGCTTGTTGGCTTTCTAGTCTTCCGTATAGATAGATTCTTCCTTCTTCCATTTTACTTTCCCCTCAAACTGTATGGTAGAACCAGAGAGAACAGCTTGTTCCAGTGCTGTCTCTAGTGTCTAAGTTTTTCAAATAAATTGCCTGTACTTTAGGAAGTACAGCAAAGAAAGATTGTTAGTCGTCTGGGACAAAGAGGCTTTCTGCTCTCTGGTTCTCTCTCTCTCTCTGTCTCTCTCTCTCTCTGTGTGTCTCTCTCTGTCTCTCTCTCTCTATCTCTCTGTCTCTCTCTCTCTCCTGTACTGCTTTAGACTTTTTTGCCTGTGTTAATGTCCCCCATCTTTTTCTTTGTCTTTGGCTATTTTGCTAGGAAAGCATCAGCCAGGAGTAGATAAACCTGATCCAAAAACATGGAAAGCAAATTTTCGATGTGCCATGAATTCCTTGCCTGATATCGAAGAAGTGAAAGATAGAAGTATAAAGAAAGGAAACAATGCCTTCAGAGTGTACCGGATGTTGCCCTTATCTGAACGGCCTTCCAAGAAAGGTAAAGCTCTTTACTGACTAAAGAAATGATCCCTCACTGTAGGCCACAGGGCCCGAGTCTCTTCATTTCTGCCTCTGTAGACACTTTGAAGGGTAGAATACTTGTTCACTCGAGAGGTGATAATTCTGTCTTTACTTGCCTTGGAAAATGACTTTCAAGGCACCGAAGGCCAAAAGATCCGTTTGTGATTTTGATTGTGTACATCTGAGGCAGTAGGTTTCGGGAGGAATTTAATGTGGGGAAGCTCACCTTTCTGTCCTTCCAGAATTGATCCAGAACTCCCTTTTTGTTGCCACAGGAAAGAAACCAAAGACGGAGAAAGAAGAGCGAGTTAAGCACATCAAGGTAATCTTTGGTTGCTTAGAAAGCCCTTGTTGGGACCGTGTATTCATATTCTGTCTCATCAAAGCGAGTAACAGGACCTTTGTGGAGGCTCTGCTCTTTCTCCTCTTCCTATTGTGTTGTATCTATTTATATTTCCTCCTCTGCATGCACTCACTTGCAGACACAAGTACACATATGCTTGGCTTACTCCACTGTCTCAGAGAAAAGCACAAAGATGGAACAGATTCAGAGCTGGACAATCACTCCCTGCTTAGCCTATCACTTAGCTCCAACCAAGCTCCAGCGACCAACTACGTCTAATACTGTGAAATGGGTTTTCAGGCTATGAAATATGTTTGAAAACTATAGTAATTCTTCTTTATTTCTATTAAGAAGTGTTAGCTATCTCTCTGTCCCCATCATAAACTATGAGCTTGAGAACACAGTAGTCCAGACTTTCTAGCCGTGTGAGTCTCCGTGGTTCTTCTCTGTTCCGTGGTTGAGTCAGCCCTTAGTTCTCTGTGGGGATGGGCCTGTGTGCTGGAGGTCTTCAGTTGACTGGATGGTGAAACCACCCCTACATTCCAATCCTCTTTGTACATAGGTGTAGCCCTTGTTAAATAGTGAGAGAGATGTCAGATCCCGTGCCTGACTGAGGAGGCCCATCGGTGGCTAAGAAAAGGGGCAGACAGTACAGTTAGAGACCCAGGGACCATCCAGGAGGTGATGTAGGTCACTGTCTTCTATGTGTAGGGGAAGGGACTGATGGATAAGAGTTGAGTGGCTTGTGTGCATGGCTCCTTAGATGTGAGCTTGAAGAAGTGGAACATTCTGATTTACAATAAAATAAAAAAGTAAGAAAATCACAGAGTGACTGAATTTAGGTTATGCCATTGACTTTGGGAAGGGACAGCATCCTGTGCTGTCATTGGGGCCTGGTCCCCAGGAGTCTCCTCCCCTGCAAGGTATCCTCACTGGAAATGATGGAGTGCTGTTTGTGTAGAAGCTATCCATATTTCCCATTTACTTTAAACTACACCTTAGTTACTTTTAATGCCTAGTATTATATAAAAATTGTTGTGCTGTATCATTTAGGGATCAATAACAAGAAAATTAAGTCTATATATGTTTAGTATAGACCAGTGGTTGGTTGAATACTAGGTATAGAAGTGTGGTATACATATGGTTAAACTGCTATTAGATTTTTTTTAATGTGTATAGGCTTCCTACCTGTATGTCTGTGCACCATGTACATGCCTGGTACCTACAGGGGCTCAGATCCCTTGGAGCTGGATTTATGGACAGTTGTGTAAAATTTACACTAACCACCACCCTAATTTTAGTATTAATCAACTCCTGACCATATTTATTTCATCAGTGCCTCCATCCTCTTCCTGACTTTCAGTATGACATCACAGATATTTGTCCCACTTTGACTTATAGGAACAACTTTTGATAGTTGTCAAAATATTTTGAAGCAAATTTCAAATATGTTGCTTCTTCCATAAATATGTTACTAAATATCTTTAAAAGTAAATCATTTTAGCTGATGTATTTGGCAGTGATTCCTCCGTATTATTAAATATCGAGGCAGTGCTCAGGGCTCCAGTTATCTCAGGAACGTCATTACAGCTTCTTATAATTGTTTTGCCTTATTTAAGACCATATTAAAGGGTATGGTAGGGAGCACACATCTGTAATCCTTGAATTCAGGAGGCTAAGACAGGGAGATCTTGAGGATGAGGCTGTCCTAGATCATGTATTAAGAAAAGAAAAGGAAATTGATATGAGAGCCATGTGTGGTTTTTTTCTTAAGGATTTTTCATTCTTTGTTAGCTTGTTGGTTGGATTTTTTTTTTTTTTTTTGAGACATGGTCTCACTGTGTAGCTGAGGCAAACTCCAGATTTAACAGCAATTCACTTCCCTCAATCTCTCCAATGCTGGGATTATGGACCGGAGCCACCACAGCCAGCTTGAGCGGTTTTATTTTTAATCTGTGGTGTTTTCATATATCTTTTTTTTTATATACAAAGATTATTTTCTCCGTGTGATTATAGAAAACCAGTTATTAGTCATATTGCTTCCCATTGTGTTATTTCTTTAAGCCTACATTTTGAGCATCCTTGTTCAGTAAGAGAACAAGATTGAACTTGTTTTCCTCCCCACAAAAAAACATAGTTTGAAGAATTCACTGCAGTCTTAGACGGGATTGTAGCATATTTACTATTTTCACAGCGTTAAGTGACTAGCACCTAGAACACATAATTCCTATTGATAACTGAGTGGCCACAGAAACATTTATGGAGTAAACATAAACAAAATATGTGTGATGGGAGTCAGGGGCTTTAGATTAGGGTGCAGATTTAATTTCACGATTGTAGTTCGAAAAACTACAGCAGAATAACATCTACTTTTCAGTATATTTTGCCCACATGTCACCACTGTATTCCATTTGATATCAAATACCAAGGAATGAATATATTTCACTATATTGTGCTCTTTAAGACAGAAAACCTGCTTTCTGTGAAACTAGGGCCCAGTCAAGCTTAAGACATGTAATATTTCAGGACTGTGGAAATATGAGGAAGTGTGACTCCTGAGGAGGATGGAGTGCGGGGATCTCATAAGCAAGGGGTAACTTTGGTTACATCAGCCTTGTGGGTCTTGTATTTTGTAAGGTCACCAAAATGAGCGAACTGGGGAAGGCACAGCCTTGGGCGGGGCTAAGCCGCAATTGATCCAAGAACTGAGAGGCCTTAGGGGCGACCAGTGGGTGAAGCTCCCACTCAGCAGTGAGTGTTATGAAATCTTGACTAACACTGTGTTCCTCAAGGGACCTTGGTCCCTCAGCAGAGGGCCGATGAATCACACAGTGTGGCCTAACCTTTGGATGTAGACTTTTTTTTGCATGTCTTGCAGTGTTAAGGTAGTACATGAATCAGGCTTCTTTAATTCTGGGGTTCATAGTTGCTAAAGACATTGCCTGACTTTAGGGTACCTGCAGAATGTTCGCGAAGTTAATTCTATGATTGCTCTGGGATCATATAGTCAGAAGCTTTTCTTTTAAATTAGTAATAGTTGACTCTTTTTTGTTGCAAATCAAAATATATAAACTGAACCAGGTTGGTAGCATATGCCTACAATCCCTCAACGGGGGAGGTGAAAGTAGGACCAGGAGTTTTTAGATAAGCCTCAGCCACGTAGCAAGCTTGAGGCCAGCCTGTGCTACATGAGATCCTGTCTCAAAAAGTAAAACAATCCCCGACAAAACAACAACAAAACTAAGAAAATACCTACGCAGAAGTCTTCAGTCGTATGCAAACGTGTGAGTGGCTAGCCCAGCTAGCCGCCTACTGAGAAAACTGCTCGGCTGTTCCTAGAACTGCAGCTTCTTACAGTGGTTGAAGTGAGTGCTTCCCAAGCTTCAGTGCAAGCTCAAGTTTTATTTTATTTAGGGCTCGCTAGCCAGGTGCTTGAAGTTTTCCCCTGGGCTGTAGACATGTTCAGTTTGCTCTTTGTTGTCCCCACAAAACAATATCTCCAGGATTCCTGGTCATGTAGTGGAAGTGGAGATAAAGGGAGACCTTCAGGGTTCAAACAGGGGTCATGCTAGGCGGGCTAGTATTTTCTTGTCATTCCACATTTACAAAGCAGAAGCAGGAGGATGCTAAGCCCTTCTCAAAGTAGGATAAAGTTGCTTGTGCCTGTTCTTTCCGAAGTCAAAGGGTTAGGGAAAAACTGCTTCTTATGGATACATACCTATGTGTCTATGGCATGTGTAGTCATAGTTCATAAGAATACATGACACTAAACATGTTCTACCCTTCATCCCTATCCACGTTCTGTTCTTTATTCGGGCACAGACACCTTCAGATTGAGGAATTAAAACAAACTGGTGGCTTGTAGCTGGCCTGACAGAGGTGATGATATTCTGCTATTCCAAAGAGGCTGTTAGACCCTAAAACCCTGTTAAACCCCTAAGAAATGGAAAGTCTCCCAGAGGCCCCATCCAAGGGGGGAAACTTGTCTTCCAATGAAATTTCACACAGTCCTAATAATTCATTAGACAACCTTATTATATCAGACTTTGGGGTCACAGCCTGTTTCTCTAAGCCATCTTTGGCCACCTATCCTCAATAAACCAATTAAAAGACCCAAATAGCAGGAATCAGGAAATGGAGGGGTTTTGTTTGTTTGCTTGTTTTTACATATGGCCACACTGGGAAGAAGAACAGAAAGATCCAGTGAACCCCTCAAGTCCATCTTCAAGGTCCTGAAAGGCAATTAAAGTTCAAATAGGGGGCAGGGAGCATGAACATCTTCACAGTCCTGGTCACAGTGTGGTCCTGCCCACCACCGACCCATTCTCTCCTGGGCTTCGGTCGCATTCTGTAAGGTCGTCTATTTGAGACACCTTCATTGCCACCACTCTGAGTCTGAGAGTGTATCCTGTGCTTGGTGAGCCATGCATCACGGGAATAAACTTGGCCTACATGGGGCTACCTACCTGCCTACCGACGAAAGTTAGAATACAAGAAACATCACTGAGCAGTCCTAGACAGCGAATGTCTGTATTTCAAAAAATATCATGAAACAGATTGCTCTGTGGGATAGAGGCAACACCAAGAACAACAGTAAGGCCAGAGTGGGTAGAACGGCAGGTGTTGTCAATTTTTAAGTTTTTCTAGATGATTTCGTTACCTTTTTCAGCTCTTCCTGCGATGGTCAGATTTTTCTCCCTTTTCCTTGTCAAGGAAGCACAGGCACGGGGATGAACCATTTTCCTAAGATGTCATAGCTTCACAAAGTCAGTGAGCTTGTGCCGCAGCCTTCTGGAAACCGCAGAACCTGAGCCAGACCTTAACCAGATCAGATGGTCCTCATTCCCTAGTCGCATGACCTTCCGTGAACCAGGGTCTGGAGGTTAGAGTTATTTGGTTTTCTCTGAGTGAATATGGAAAGGGCTTAATTTGAGCAGTTTTTGTGTGGAAACAACGGGAAATAAAGACACACAGGTAAG